AACTGTGGTTGCTTTCCAAGAAGAAAAATAGTTTAAGGGAATCAGCTACCGGATCCTCAACATCTGTATGGACTCTTCTTAAAATGCTTCTGCTTCTTCTCTCACTCTACAAAAGAAAGGTACATCTCTCACCCATCTCAGAGCTCAGAGGTGGCCCCAAGGTGTAAATACCTCCTGGGCCAAATCCTAGGGCAGTTCCTTTTTGTGATGGATCAAGAGATCATTAACATTGTGGATTTTGTTTCTCTGTTCTACATCTATGTCAATTAAGGTGGAGTCAGCCTTATTTTTTTTTTTTAGATTTTATTTATTTATTCATGAGACAGAGAGAGAGAGAGAGAGAGACAGAGAGAGAGAGAGGCAGAGACACAGGCAGAGGGAGAAGCAGGCTCCACACCGGGAGCCCAATGTGGGACTTGATCCAGGGTCTCCAGGATCACGCCCTGGGCCAAAGGCGGCGCTAAACCCCCGAGCCTCCCAGGTTGCCCGAGCCAGCCTTAGAAATAGGGTATTTTGAGATTTTGAAAAGTTTTCAGCTGTGAGACATTGTAGAGTGGGGTAGTGAGAGGGATGGTGACAGTCTTTGTGGAAAGACCTGGCTCCTTCCACCCCCAGGCTATGGTAAAGAACATGGAGCATTCTTGGGGGAGAGTCCACAGGAGATTGATGATAAACAATGAACACTAAAAACGGCTTTTTAAAAAGTATTTAAACATTAGCAAATCTTTTTAGCTATTCTTAATAGTCATCCTCAGGGCCAAGTCATTAGCTAGAAGGAAAGAATTTTGAACAGCAAATCACTGTAAATTAATAACACAGATTCTTTTCAGTGTGACTGGCAGGATTCCTGGGACTACTGAGTTTTAAAAGACACATTAGATAAAAGTAACAGATAAAGCTTTCATGTGATTTCTTTCAGATTGGGTGTACATTATTAAATAACAGAGTTAGTACCCACTTTATTAAATCATATAATGAAATATTTATTTCAGTTACAATTAATCCTCATCTTATAAAATGTTAAATATTGTCTACCTCCTCTTAAAAAAACGGTTACTAGCTTCAAACTAGTTTTTTTTTTTTTCAGCTGGCTATGGATTTATTATTTTTTTAAAAGATTTTATTTATTTATTTGACAGAGAGAGAGTGAGAGCGAGCACAGCAGGGGAAGAAGCAGAGAAAGGCTCTCTGCTGAGTAGGGAGCCAAATGCGGGGCTTCATCCCAGGACCCTGGGATCATGACCGGAGCCTTAGACACATGCTTAACCGACTGAGCTACCCAGGTATCCCTGGCTATAGATTTAAATCTCATTAAATAAATAGAAACATGTGATAATGATGTCTAAACTAATGGAGTTCTTTCTAATTTTCATTTGAATACTACTCTCAAAAGCAGAATGTTAGAGATCACTATATGGTCATAAACATAAATGCTACAATAAGTACATAAAAACAGGACTAGTAGCAATGGCATTTAGAAATAATTCATAGGACTAATTAAATAATATGTGTGAGAAAAACACTCACAATAAATTAAATAATAAGTGTGAGAAAAACACAATAATTTCCTTCTTGTCCTTGGATGTGGCAATTTATCTCTTTTTAAACTTTATTTTGGATAGGTAAATTTTATAGGCTATGTTATTATGTATTCTTAAGATAGGTAAACATAAGATATTTTGAAAGAACATACAGTAGCATTAATTAAACAGGTGTTATCCAAATTTAATTAAAAATAACAATGACATTTTTTCCGTCTTATGATATAAGTAGGTTATTTTAAATCTTTGTTTCCTAATCTGTGTTTGATAATATTTCTCTGAACTGCCTGCAGCCTTTAAGACATCATTTTTTCTTTTATGTAGTGGTAAAACTGAATATAGTCAAATGTAAATTCATGTTGGCTTGCAGCTCTGCTATTATCAAGCCTACATTATAGAGATTTATAGGCTGAATAGAATTTGCCAGGATTTACATTTGTACTCTCTGCTGAATATGCAGATAGATGAGCAAAGTCTAGTTTTTATTTGAACAAGATATCAGTAGTCTTTTGTTTACAGTTTTCTACAGTTTTATTAAAGTCTTCATAAAAACCGAGAAAATGATTTGAGACTCCACTTTTCAAATTAAAATACCTAAGAGGGAGTGAACAATTTTTTGTTGCTGTAATTCGATGCATTATTTAATGTGTTATAGAAAGCGCAATCACTGGTAGGATCCAACAGAACGAGCTCTACACTGTAAGGGGCTGTTCTGGGTTGAATAGTGTCCCCCAAAAGTCATGAAGGCTGTGAATGTGACCTTATTTGAAAATAGGGTCTTTGGGGGTACCTGGGTGGCTCAGTTGGTTAGGCATCTGCCTCTGACTCAGGTCATGATCCCTGGGTCCTGGAATCGAGTCCAACATCAGGCCCCCTGCTAAGTGGGGAGTCTGCTTCTCCTTTCACCCTACTCCTGACCCCTGCTGGTGCTCTCTTCCTCTCTCTCACTCTCAAGTAAATAAATAAAGCCTTAAAAAAATATATAGGGTCTCTGCAGATGCAATCAAGTTGAGATTGTCCTAGACTAGCATGCCCTGAATCTAATATGACATATGTCCTTTAAGGAGAAGGAAATTTGGACACAAAGAAAATTGCCTTGGGAAGATGCAGGCTGAAACTGGACCGATGAACTTACAAGTCACGGAATGCCAATGATTGCCAGAGCCATGAGAACTAGGAGGCAGGCATGGAGCAGATTCCCCCCTAGAACCTCAGAGGGAGCACAACCCTGCTGATGCTTTGATATCACTTAGCTAGTCTCCAGAACTGTGAGGAACTAAAATTTTTTTGTTGTTTTAAGCCACCTGGTGTGTGGTACTTCATTATGGTGGCTCCGGCAACCTAACACAGAGACCAACATATCTGTTTTCAAATTTCCCCACAGAACATTTTAGTTTCAGTCTGTGAATCAATAAATGTGACTTCACTCAGGTCCATAAAACCATAAAAGGAATGATAAAATAATGTGTGTACATCCATGTGATATGCCCAGACTAACTCTGCGGTCACTATTTTCAACTGAGCATTAGTACCTTTGGGAGAAAAATGTTTGATTAACTTTCCTTGTCTAATACCAGGCTTGTGAGATTCAGTCCTCCTGTGTGTTTTCACAATCTCCCCCTCTGCCATGCCCAGCCTAAAATTATTTTCTAACATATTGTACTGCATGCCCTGTCTGGGCTATTTACTTCCCTGGCCCAGCTATGTGTGTCTTTCCTTTTGTCATAAAACACCACAGTCATTTAGCCTTCTTTTCTCAGTGATATCTGGATCATGCTTGTGACACAGAAGGTGTTCCCATTTTTATGATCTGAACTTCTAGAAAACATTGTCACAATATTCACAGTGTTAAAAATTAACCTAGGGCTATCTCTGTAATAGGAGGCTATTTTTTTTTTAAGATTTTTAAGATTTATTTATTCATGAGAGACACACAAAGAGAGGCAGAGACATAAGCAGAGGGAGAAGCAGACTCTCTGCGGGGAACCCAATGTAGGACTCGATCCCAGGACCCTGGGATCATGACCTGACCCAAAGGTAGACGCTCAACCACTGAGCCACCCAGGGGTCCCTAACTCCATTTTTGATATTGAGCTACCAATGGCTTTAAGCCTCATCCCCTGCCTGCCCCCGCCCACCTCCACCAGTCATCTGGGCAAGCTGCTACGACACGCTTCTCTCTTTTGGTGCTGGTGGGAAGTTCAAACCACACAACCCATACCACACTGGGAATCTTCATCCCACATCCACCCCCTCAACACAGAAACCGCAAGCCAGTCTGTCCCCTTCCCTGCTCTCTCAAGGCACTCGGGCCCACAGGAGATGGCTGTCCTGCTCTCTCCCAGAGACTTCAATGATGTAAATACATTAACCTTACCATAGCTCTTGGTGTGTGCATCAATCTCAACATGTGAGCCAAATTTTGGGTGGGGCTCTATTCTGATTCTCCAAGGTGGCCTCAATAATCTTAATACAAAGCACAACAGTTCATCCACAGACCAAGTCAAACATAGACTGTTAATAACATGATCAGAGTGCACTTCGAGTTGTAAACTTCTATCACTCGAAAGGAGGTAACAACAGGTGATCTATTATTGTGAACTAAAAATCATGGTTGCCAACATCAGTGGTCAGGGGTAAAAAATCAGTGACTACTTTGGGCAGATAGTTTATACTCTATTCATTTGGCACTAAAAACAGTGCTGCCTTCAATTCGTATTTCTTTGGCCATTTGTATGGGTTTTGTACTCCACCCCCGCCCCGGCCCAAATTTGACACCCATTACCAAAACTCGCAATTCTGTGCATCCTTGGAAGGGGTGCCCCAGGAACCAGGACTTTCAGTGCTAAAAAGAGGAGACTTTCAATGAGAAATCTTAGATAGGAACTGTTGCACTGAACTCTGTCTGAATCCTGACCCACAGAAATCATGAGCCATGACAATTCATTATTGTTGTGTTAAGCCACTAAGGTTTTGGGTGATTTGTTATGAGGTAACAGCAGCCCAAACCAGCTACAGTCGGTTGCCTGATATTTTCCCTTGAAGTCTACTCTTCTCACCATCCTCCTCATCACATTAGGGCACAACTCCACCCTTCCAGTTGCTCAGGTCAAAAACCATGCAGTCATTCTTAACTCCATTTTTCCCCTCCACATCCAACCATTCACTGATTATATTGGTTCTACTTTCAACATATACCCAGATTTTGACCACTTCTCAATCTTTTTCACTGCCACCCCTCTAATTCAAGCCACCATCATCTCTTGCTTAGATTATTTCAATAGCCTATTAACTAGTTTTCCTGCTTCCTCATTGCCACCCCCTTCAGTCTCTTCTCAACACAATTTCCAGGGTGATCTTGTCAAAAAGTACATTAGGTCCTATCACTCCGCTGCTTAAAACCCTCTCAAGGTATCCCATCTCTCCTACGGCAAAGCCAGTGTCCTCACTAGGACTTACATGGCCCTATACAATCTGCTCCCTATTTCTTCTCTTTCTTTATTCTGCTCTACATCTCCTTGATCATTCTGCTCCAGCCACACGAGCTTCCTTGCCGTCATCCCAACATGATATACACACTCCTGCCTCAGGGCCTTTGTACTTGCTGTTCCTTTTGCTTTGCTGTTGCCTTTGGCCAGATGGCCATCTGTCTTTCTCCCTCACTTCCATTAGGTTACCTTCTGGGTGCAGCCTTCCCTGCCCAGCCTACCTAAAATTTCGGCCTTTTAGCTTGACTCTTCTGTTCTCCTTCCTTGCTTTATTTTCTTCTTCGTTCTTATCCATTAACTATATATTTTACATATTTGTCTTGTTTATTCTTTGTCTCTCCACTGAAATGAGAGCTCCACAAGGGCAAGGATTTTTCTGTTTTGTTCATGGTTTTATCCCTACAACTTGGTGAACAGTGCCTAAAATATAGCAAACTCTCAGTGAGCATCTATTGTTCACCTGATAGTCATCATAGTATATGCACTATACATTGAGCTTCAAATTTAGAATCAGCACTTGGGAAAATAACAGAAGACAATCATGATCAGAGAACAGGATGTAAATGCTATCAACTTTAAGCATGTGAAAGTATGATGCAGAAGTTTGGAATGAAAGGGAAGGTGAAGGAAGGAAAGGGATACCAGTGTCTTCGTCCTCCAAAATACCGGAGAGAAGAGATCCTGGCTCTGGTGCTTGCAAAAAGAAGTAGTTATAAGCACAAAACTGAAAGTTACAAGCATAGCTGATGAACTAAGAACAAGGAGTCAACTATAGGAACGTGGGAGAAAGATGGGAGTGATGGTGTTAAGTCATAGCTGTAAATCAATAGGTAAGATCGGCAATATCTGTCTTAGCCTAATTTTCCTAGAAAATAGCCTGAGGCAAAGCTTAAGGGCTAATGCTTTATTAGAATGTGCCATCCCAGCTCTGCAAGACTAAGGAAATGAGAAGAAATTCAGGAAAGCCCTGGCAGTAAACACAAGGTGTTGAAGTACTGCACTGGCTGTTGCTTCATAAAGTGCCATGAATAAATGTAGCTGGTTCCTCAATGGGTGACCACTCAGTTACAAAGGACCTCTTTGAACAGAATGTATGGAAATCTTATGCCTGGAACAATCCATTAGAGGGAGAAAACAGAAAGGGTGACTGTAATCTCCCTTTGTTTTCTGTTTTCCATTGGTCAAAATGTGCTGTCCAGAGAGTTAACTAATACCATCCCCCCCTTGCAGGTTGTATCACCTGACACCCCCTCTTTTTTTAAAAAAATTTTTAAAAGATTTTATTTATTTATTCATGAGAGACACAGCGAGAGAGAGAGAGAGAGAGAGAGAGAGAGAGAGAGAGGCAGAGACACAGGAAGAGAGAGAAGCAGGCTCCATTCATGGAGCCGACATGGGACTCCATCCAGGGTCTCCAGGATCACACCCCGGGCCGCAGGGGGCGCTAAACCACTGAGCCACTGGGGCTGCCCACCCCCCTCTTTTTAAAAAGATTTTATTTATTTATTCATGAGACACACACAGAGAGAGGCAGAGACATAGGCAGAGGGAGAAGCAGGCTCCCCATGGAGAGCCCTGATATGGGACTCGGGGATCACAGTCTGAGCCAAAGGCAGACACTCAACCACTGAGCAACCCAGGCATCCCTCACCTGATCCTTTGGTGCCATTGGGGAAGCCAGATCTGGGCATGTGGCCTGATGGCTTCCTGCAGTAGAACCAGAAGCTCAGACTTAGTTGTCACACAGGGCAGGCTAGGCAAGCTGCAAAACTAGGAGAAAGGTGAGCCTGAAGAAATCAAAGCAAGCACATGTGATATGTCCAGTACACTGTCTGAAATCAATAAATCAAGAAATAGAGATATAAGCATATATATTCATATATAGAGATAAGAAAACTGTCTGAAGAATAAAAACAGAAAAGAGTTGTTAAAGTGATTGCTTCGGGGGGTGGGAAAGAGGTTGGAGAGCAAAAATATTACTTATTACTATTAGCTCTTCCTTTAAAAAAAAAAGATTTTTAAATGCATTTATTTGAGAGAGAGTGAGAGCACAGTAGGAGAGGGAGAGGGAGAAGCTGATTCCCCTGAGCAGAAAGCCCAACGTTGGGCTCCATCCCAGGCCTCTGAGACTATGACCCGAGACAAAGGGAGACATTTTTAACAGAGTAAGTCACCCACACACCCCTACTATTAGCTCTCTGTACAATTTTTTCAAATGCATGAATTATACTGATAAAATTTCTTTTTTAAGACCTTGCAAACTAGATTTTATCCTTTCCCAAATTCTTCAGGGTATATGAATAATTGCTGTTGCTATTGGGATAATTAAAACATGTTAACACCATTTCCAACTGAATATTAGCTCTCAGACTTGAAATGTCAATATTGTTGCTATCTATACAGTCTAAGTTTGTTCTAAAGTATGCAAGTACCAGTGATTTTGTACTAACCTGCCACAGGTACAAGTTTTAAGGGAAAAAAAAGCACAATTTCTCATTTTTATTTCTGGAGGTTTCAGTTCTGAACTGAAGTCCCTGAACCCAGGGCCCTACTGGCTTCCCCTAGCTCACAAGTTATTCCCTCTTGCTTTCTGCTCAAGCCATGTTGGCTACCTTTCTGTTTTTCAGACCACTCTGTCTGCAACTTGCACCTCAGGGCTCTGGCATCGGGATGCTCCCTTTACTGCCCACCGCATCCCCCAACATAGCAAGTTCAGTATATTCTAAGCTGCAGGTAGCCACACATCACCTCCGTGATGTTTGTCTTCCTTGTGTACTGCCCACCCTGTTATTTAACTTACCATTTTTCTTTAAATTGACAGCTTCATTAAAAATATTTATTTTTATAAGAAAACCTTACCTGCTAACCAATAAGGAAAGCCAATATCACTTGTTACAAATTGCACAAAACGGTAAAATAAATGTATAATAATGACAATAAGAATACTTCTCTGTGCTACCAGTGGTTCATGTAACATACTTGGCAACCTCCTAGTTTTGTTACTTGTCTTTTGATTTATCTTTGATTTATTAGCCTACGTATCACTTTTTTCCAGGGAAATCTCTAATTCGGTGGATTGGACCAGCCTCCTGTGTTGCCCACTTGTTACCATTGCTGCATAACATTCATAAGATTATAGTACTCATAGTTATAGATTTGTGGGATTATTTATAAATGTCTGCCACCTCAGTGGGGTTTACACTTCATAAGAACTGGAACTGTGTTAACTTTGCTCACTTCACATCTCCTGAGGAGATCAGTGTGCAACCCACTGTTCACGCTTAAAAAATACTTATGGAATAAATAAATGAATACCTGTGTGAGATTCTCACCAGAGACCAACCACCTTCATTTGTTGTGTTTCCAGGCCCACCAGACCATCTTTCTATGACCGAGTGTCCTCAAATTCTTTCTGAGAGGAAGTAGGATAAAAATAAGTAATGTAGGAATGAATCAGTTGACAGATGTCGGGAAGAGGGTCACCTGGAGTTGCAAATCATAATTCCCAACAATGGTTGCAACAGCATTTCCCATCCCATGTGTAATTGTGCAGAGGGACTTCGTCATTCTCCCATTAGGAGGTGAGTCTAATTCCCTCCCTTTGAATCTGGGTTAGCTTTAGTGACTTGCTTCATTAAGCCAACAAAGGTGACTTCCAAGGCTGTCAGGAAAGGCTATGCAGCTTCTGCCTTTCTCTCTTAGAGCGTTGTCTGGCTGCCTGTCTCAGGACACTGCTTCACAGATCCCAGCCACCACTCTGGCAAGTGTTCAAGCCAGTGGTTGCCAGCCCCAGCAGAGCCTGGGTTTCTAGTCATCCCAGCCCAAGCACTGGACATGTGAATGAGGCAACCTCCAGATGATTCCTGCCCCCTGCCATTAGAGTTTTTCCAGCTGAGGGCTCAGACAATGGGGAGCAGAGATAAGCCCTCCTTATTTTCCCTGTATGAATTCCTGACTCTCAGAATAAAACTCTCACTTGTTTTATTCCACTAAGTTAGGAGATGTTGTTTTATGCCACTAAATTTGGGTTTTCTGGTTTGTTTTGTTTTGTTTTTTAAGTAGGCTCCTCCATGCCCAAAATGGAGCCCAAAGCCAGGCTTGACGCATGACCCTGAGATCAAGACCTGAGCTGAGATCAGGAGTCGGACACTTAACTGACAGAGCCACCCAGGTAGTGGTGGGTTTTGCACACTAACAGATAACCAGGACAGAATCTGGTACCTGGGAGTGGGATTATTCCATAACAAAATACAAGCATAAGGCACTGGTTTTTACTGAGGATAACGAAGAAACTTGTGGAAATAAAGACCAAGATGTGAAGAGGCAAAAGCTCTTATTTAGAACTTTTAAAATATATATATATTATTTATTTATTTGAGAGAGAAAGTGTGAACACACATACACAGGGGGGAGGGGCAGAGGGGCGAGGGAAAAGCAGACCCCCATTGAGCAGGGAGCCCGACACCAGGCTTGATCCCAGGCCCCTGAGATCATGATCTGAGCTGAAGACAGATGCTTAACTGACCAACTCATCCAGGAACCCTGTTCTTATTTAGAACTTGCTACAGCAAGGGAGTCAGCCACCATCACTTGCATTTTGGCAGAAACTGAAGGCAGGCAGAGGAGTTGGGATAGTTTTAGTGGAGAAAATGGAAAACATTGAGTTTGCTCTGATTAGAAGCTCTTAGCATGGGGATGCTGGAGGTGGGCCAACGAGAAGCAGGACATCTTGTGTGATTGGTTAGCGTGCACATCTAGCTTTTTCAGGTTGGTCCTAAATTGGAAGCAGTGACAAAAATTAGGGGAGCTATCAGTTATTTATCAAGTCCTGGTCACTTTAGGCCAATCATTATAAAGGCTACTGTCTGCTTTCCTGGAATTTTGCTAGAGACTAGCATTCTGACTTCCAGCAAGTCTGACTTAGAGTAAGCTGGCTTCCTGGGCTGGTTACTATAGATTATGGGTTAGTTTTTTAGCCTGGTTGCTACAGATTGTGAGTCAGGTTTCCATTTCTCTATATTATCTGATCATTATCTATATATATATATATATTCAATCTCTCAAGGTCAAAT